GTTCTCAGCTACGATTTGCTGAAATACATCTTCTAGTCCTCTCTCTCTCCACTCCCTCCGGGATTCCAATTATTCTGACATTGGAACGCCTCATGGTGTCACTTATTTCTCTGATTCTATTTTCATGGATTTTGAGTTGTTTTTCCCTTTTTATGTATTATATTGTTTTCCAGGTCACTTATTCTCTCTTCTGTCTCAGTTACCCTAGCTATTAGATTATCTAGATTGGATTGGATCTCATTGATAGCATTTTTAAGTTCTGCCAATTCACCTTTTATTTTTGCCCTTAGAAACTCTTATTGACTTCTCCATTCTAGCCATTGTCTTCACAAATGCTAGCCTGAATTCCATCTCCGACATCTTGGTTATATCTGCATCCATTTGTAAATCTGCAGCATAAGTCATAATCTCTGAGTTTTTTCTGTTTTGGGGGCTCCTCTTCCTACTCATTCTGTTGATGGGTGTTTGAGGAATGTATAGAGTCTAAATTATTGACCAGAACCCAAGCAAGATGCACCTGTTTTCTTGGGACCTTAGGGTTGCTGGCCTCTTGTTTTCCCAGCCTGTCTTCTGCGGGAAGGGCCTTCTGGGCTGTTACCCAGGCAACCCTTTTTGGGCGGAGTTGCCCCGGCACCCCTGTGGTGGGGGATGGGCTCAGTGGGAATCAGTCTTTGGGGTTTTTGTTCTCTGGCGCCTTTCCCTGGCAGCTTTCCACGTCTCTTCGGCAAGTCAGAGCAGAAGAGACCATTTCCACCCTCTGCCTCAGAGCAGAGAGACTGTAGTCTGTTCTTCAGTGAGCTCTCCAGGCCACACTGTCTCCGTTTCTGTCCGTGCTGCTATAAACTGCAGCGTCCTGGGTTGTGTGACCCTCCGCAGCGCTCCCAGTCCTGCCTCCAGGTCGAGGCACGTCTCTGCCCTTTGTGCTTCTAAAACCGCCAGCCGCTCCCAATTCGCGTGCTCGCGACTCCGCCGCTTGGGGTTTCCATCCCTGGGGGTTGCAGTTCACCAGCGCGACCCTGGAGCACCGGGTTTCCATCTCGGAGGCTGCAGTTCGCGTGTGCACAACCGTCCCTCCGGGTTTCTGTCCGGGGGGCTGCGGTTCGCGTGCGCCCGACCCCGCCTGTCTGGTTTTCCACCCCGGGGGCTGCCTTAAAGTTCTTTCCTGACGCTATGGGTCTGCGAGTCCGTGCCCCGTCCGCAGCAGGCGAGGCTGTCACCTACCGGCGGTGTAGGATCCCCATGTCCAGGCACCCTCCCGCTGCCGTTTTTCCTCCGATATCTGCCCGCAGAATCATGGCTCCTGCTTTGTACCTCAAAACCAACCACCTGCGATATTCTGTTTGTAGAGATCTAGATCTTCTTACATCTCAGGCTGGTTTTGTGGGTGCTCAGAATGGTCTGGTAGATACCCAGCTCAATTCCAGGGACCAGTTGAAATAGGGTCTCCTACTCCTCCGCCATCTTTCCCCCCCTCCCCTACTCCTGCATTTTTGACCCATAGAAAGTGCATGAGATCATAAGTATTTATTGGTATTTTTAGCATTTCAGTTTGGAACAATTTGTTTTTCAGCAGCAGATAACTAATGTTGATTTTGGTACCTGGAGCTGGCCTGTCTTCACAAAACTTGGAATATGGGTATGAGTTTGGATCCAGAGCACAAGCAGAAGCCAGAAGGACTGCAAGGAATGTGCTGGTGGGCAGCTCATCTGCACTGTCTCATGCTGGTTTACCTTGTTGGCACATGGCAGCAGGTGTGGCTGCAGCTCTACCACCTCCGTAGTGTAAAAACCATATAGATGCTGCCTCATTTCTGCCTTCTGCATCTTGCACAAAATGACCCCCAGGTCTCAGCTATTTGGAAGTACAGAGAGAATGGAAATCTGGGAAATAAGTTCAGTGAAGCCAAGGGGACATATTGCAAAGCTACCATAGCACGAACATGGAGTGCTGTTAACAAGTACTCCCTGAGTTGTTAACAAGTAGTTCCTGTCAGGGAGCCAGGGGGCAGGCTTCCCTGTTTTTCTAGCTGTTACAGGCATCGAGGTATCTGGGAGGCTGAGGATGCCACCATGGAGGAGAACCCAGAATACTGAGAGAAGGAAGAGAAGGGGTGCTGAGCCAAGGGGTTAGCTTCTTTTCTGGGCAATGGGCAGAGACTCTTTGTGCTGAAAGAAATGAGAATCTCAACCATGCTGCAAGGTCTCACGGGAAATAGAAAAGCCACAAAGTGTCCCTTTTCTTCTATCACTATTTCTGCTAAGAGGTGAATCCAAGCGAAAGAAAGATAAAATCCAAGGGTTCAAAAGTCTAGACAGAACTATTGCCTTCAACATGAGATGGGGCTTGATAACTAGGAAATGGGTTGAATTATCAGACTCACCAATCTCAGGCCACTTCTGTGCCATCCCAAGGTGGCTTCTCGGTATCCCCTGGCTAAGGGAATGAAGGCCCCAGTCATGTCTTCATAGGAGAGAATGGAGGGCGCCATCTTCCCCTCTGGTCACAGGCCAACTGGCACACACTGGGTACAGCTTCCCACATGTGTCCATCCCTAGTCCTGTGTCCTGGGGAACCCATTTTGAAGAGTACACAAAGAGCAGTTTTTCACATTTTAGGAGTCTATCAAAGAGAATTGCATGGGGATGGTTAGAGTCCAAGGTGCAGGAGGAGCCAAGCAGTGAGGCATTTCGTCTGGAGCCCCAGCTCAGCACTGGCCTGCTCCCTGTGTTTTTATGGTGACCCATCCCCTTCAGGGGCGCTGGGAAATCCCTCTAGTCAGGGCAGTATGCATCATGTACTCACCACAGGCCTAAGATGCAGGCATCAACCTCAGTCCCCTCGGTGGACGACCTCTGCTCTTGTCGTCCTTACTCACCAAGGTCCCCAGAGCGGGCAGGAATCACCACCCTCCAGCCTCCCCATTTTCCAGAGTGGGCGATGGGTCCCATATCCCTGTCTCAGCAGGAGCAGCATTTCCTTTTACTGGGTGTTGTAACGAGGGGGCCTGTGACCCTGCCGCTGTCCCTCTGCCTCCCTGGGGTCCCGGAGGCACCTGGCACCAACCGGCTGGGGTGACTTTGGACAGGTTATTTAATGTCTTCCAACCTGAGTCTCTCCAGCTGTAAGATGGCTCCATTACTGTCACGGGGAGGACCTGCTGCCTCTTGGGTACGTGCCCTGCATAGTTTCTGACATAGAACTGGGTGTTTGGTAAAAGTTCATCCTCATTGTCTGTTAGAAATCATTTAACTTAGCCTGCAGCTCAGTTTGAAGAGATACTGTAAGTGCATGGCCTAGCCTCCTCCTTCAGAGGTCAGGCAGAGCCCTTGAGGAGTGAGGAGCAGGCTGCCCTGCGTGATCTTTCCCTCTGACAGGGACTGTCTTGTTCAGCTTTGTGTCCCTTTAACCCTTCAAAAAGTGTTCTCTCAGCAAGTTTCAGGTTTGAATGAGGCCTGGAGAGGACATAGGTCACCCACGCTGCCTGAGGTGAAACAGAGAAAGGAAGAGGTTGTTTTAGTCAGGAAGCTGGGCCCCGGCATCAGCCCAGCGCACTCTGAAACACTGTGCCAGGGGTGGGCGTCTCTGGGGCTTGGGTTTCTTCAGCCCCGGGGAGGCTCCCAGGATGGGCCAGGATTTCTCATTGACAGAAGTTCTAAATCCCGACCCTACCTGCTCCAGGCCAACAGACCCCATCTTCCTACAGTGACCGGGGCTGCCCCCATTGCCGGGGCGCTGGGACACCAGGAATACAGCAAGACTGGTCACGGGTCTTTATTTATTGAGAAAGAATTCACACAAGGTCACATCATACAATCAGTCATTTCCTGTGCTTCATAAAAATGATTGTCATTCACTGTGCTTCACAAAAATTTCTTTTAATGAATAAATAATTTGATGAAATCAAAAATATTTACAATATAAACAAAGGGAAGAGCTTTGGATCTGTGAATCTGATCGTTGAGCTTTGCATTTTTGAACTGACTTCTTCCAAGCTTTTCCCTTGGAAACAATACAAATCTGATAGAAACAAATCATACAACATATCTTTGTTCATTATACGTTTATCGGTTAGTCTTGGAAAGGTACATAAGCTTATACTATGCAACATGTTAAAATACAAATATTAACTAAAATAATATATTATCATAATGCCAGGTAACATTCTCCACAAAACAAAAATGTACACTCGGCCGTAACAATAACAAAGGTTCACGGGCCACAAAATAATACTCCAAAGGTACAAACTCCTTCATAAGAATATAATTGTGCTCTTCAGTTTACCAGATGTCTACACTGCTCTAATAAGCCGATGCCTAGGACAGTATTTGATGACTCTGCTGTGTGTGGTTTTCCGTCAGGCAGCAGCATTGCTGGGAATTGGGCAGTGCAAAGCAGTTTTAGAAACACTTTCTTGGGCTCTTAAAAAGAGCCAATTATGCAAAGCAAAATAAGCATATTGAGAAGTCTTCATCTCATCAACACAAATACCATGGAACGTCTTGGCTTTGTGGGATGAAAGGGTTGGTGTGCAGAGCTGTTTATGCCATCAGCCAGAATTCAAGTATTCCAGAGCCACCTCGTAGCAGAACTTGTACTGATCCTGGAAAGCAGAAGGGCAAAGATGTCAGCTATGTGATATCCAAAGGCCGGCGTCATTGAAGCAATTATGCCAGATTAGGGTTCTAATTGGAAGAAATCCAACTGAGAAGGATTTGAATCAGCAATGAATCAGAAAATCACGGTTGTGAACCACAAACCTATCCGCTGTCTGGAGACGTTCCCCACAAGGCCTGATGAAAGGTATTTTGACATCTACCTTCACTAGAATTTCTGCAAAGTTCTGGACAACTGGAACACATACAGTGTGTTTGTCCACACATATATGTTTACCTGTACATCAACATCCTGAACACAAAGTATGGGAAAATCAAGAGGTAGGAGGGAAAAAAAATGAAGTCTGAGGGAAGTAACTGTGATTTGCTCATACAAGGGCCTCAACAAATAAATGCGTCACTCCTGGCCCAACTATACCCTAGATTTTCAGTCAGCAGGATGTCTCCCATTTTATGAGACTTTATCAAGCACCTCTTAAATACCAAGCACCTTGACCTGGTCCCTGACTTTGAGAAGCCCATGGTCCAGCGAGGAGGCTAAGACCAGTATCCAATGATAACACATGGCACGGAGTTGAGCCAGGGCCTGAGAATGGTCCCCCGATATAGGTGCAGTGGAGTAGAGAGCAGAACTTCCTAGGGAAGACCTGCAAAGGGGGAGCAGGTGACTAACTGCTAACTCCTAATGGGGGTTAAAACTGGCATCCCAGGTAGAGGAACTGGATAAGTTCCCCAGAGGGGAAGTGTTGGGATACCCACTGGGAGCCACCTCTCAGCTGTTAATCAGGCAATAAAGGCATTTTTCTTGAGCACAGCTTTCTCAGATCATGGACCGCAGCCTAAGGAAGACCTCCATGAGGTCCTGGCGCAGCTGGGGTCTCAGGTGTCAGGAGATGGCATTCTGCACCTGTGTTTGAGTGGTGTGCTGATGGACGCTCACCTGGGTGTGGCCTCTGAGCCAAGCAGAGGGACACAGCAGTTGAGGATGCTTCTATTTGCCACCTGGCAGCAGCCCAGCAGCTGGGACAGAGGGCTCAGCATCTAGAAGGCTCTCTTCCCATCTCCGGAAGAGAGAAGCTTTCACAAGGTGTAAGAGTGCACACCACAGTCTCACTACCCAACACAATGGCCACAACCAAGGAAATGGATCTATTATATTTGGGTTTGCCAAATTAATTAAAACTAAATTTCCATTTTTGGGATATGTGCCTCTTAATTAATTAGTCACTGCAATTTTCTTGTCTTCACCTACATTTTCTTCTCTATATGCCCCACTAGTCCAACCTATGTATTTGAAGACAAGAGCCATACTTTATCCCTTTGTGTGTAATACAACAGTCTTTAGCACAGCACCTGACATACAGTTGGGGGTGTCAAACGTAGGCTGTATATGTAAATGATGACAAAATACGAGTTTAGCAGCATTTCATTCAACCCAGTAAACACTGAAGGCTAGAGACTAGGGAGTTTAAGATGCAGCTTTAGTCCTTCAGGAGTTCACAATCTGGAGGGGAAGACAGGAAGCAAACAGACCATCTCAACATACTAGAGGGGCCACAAGATTAAAACATCAGTAGCAGTAGCACCCACCAGGATGGCTAAGATAAAAAAAGACAGACAATAACAAGCATTGGTGAGGATGAGGAGAAACTGGATGCTCATATGCTGCCAGTGGGAATGTGAAAGGTGCAGCCACTTTGGGAAATCCTCTGGCAGGTCCTCAAAAGGTTAAACGGAAGAGTTACCCCGTGGCCCAGCAATTCCTCTCCTAGGTATATGCCCAAGAGAACTGAACATATGTCTACACCAAAGCTTTCTGATTCATATTTCAGGATTTGATACTTTCATTTTCAAAATATTTAAAAGAAACCATTTGCATTTCAAAATTCTAAAAGGCCATGTTGTCAGATCACCAGGCTGACATATTGGCTATGAAGTGGTCAACCCTGTTCTCCTGTCTCCTTCACGGAGACAGTTAATGTTTTTCATGGAAATCTGAGAGATCCAATTACTTACTGCATAAACATGGGTTTGCATAAACCTAATCGTGAAATTTCAGTGCCTACTATGAAGCATCCTTTTAACATGTGATCATGCATTTAGCGAGTCATATAGCTGCTGGCCTCCGGCCACAACTCCAAAAAGATTTGGGCTTCACTGCTAAGGGGCTGCTGTGTTGAAAAATCACTGAAGCTGTCCTGTCCCAGGCATGACTACAGTTTTCAAAATGAATTCGCCATCATCTCATCCCTCCTAACAAACTGTCAATCCCAATAGATTCTGTGATGACTGGTTTCTGAATCAGAAAAATAAAGGGAGTGAGAATGAAGACCATAAATTGTTGCGGGTGCCCTCCCCCAAGCACCCCAGGAAATGCCTGAAATCCTCCTCTGTTGCAAACTATTACCCTTGATCGCCAGGTACAGGCCTGTCTTCTGCATTTTCCTCTCTCAGCTCGCTTGCTTTTGAGCAGTGTAATTAAGCCACACGAGCTATTCCTGTGCTTCAGGGAGAAAAAAAGAACATTTCTGCCTCGGTCCCAAGTTCTCCTGATTGGGCAACATTAGCTGGCTTTGGGCATGAAAAAGTGACATGAGCAGGGGTTGTCCTTGGGCCGGACCGGAACCAGGGCAGCCAGCTACTCTCCTCCCAAGCCCCCGACCCCACCTTCACTGCAGCCCCACCTCCTGTTCTCCTGAAGAGGGAGAAAGTGAACTCTAAAGAGGCACCTACAAGCTAGGTTCTGTTTTAAAGCCCCCACCCCCCACCCTGTTCACTCAGTGAGGACATCACGAGGCCACGAGGCCTGCAAGTGACTTTGGGGAGCTCCCTGAAGGGCTCAAGCTGTGCCCGTGTCAGCCCAAGCTGCCTCGTGTCTGAGGAACTTGGGGCCCTGCAGTCCCTCTGGGCACTTCCAAGGCCCCGCGCTGCCTGCCCGAGAAGATTCAGACAGCAGTCTGCGTGGCTCACCTGGGGCAGCACTGCCCTCCCTGATGCACCTGCTTTTTGAACCTAAAACAAGTTTCACAATTTCACCTGCTGACAGGTCCCACAGTCTGGAAAAACCCTTTTGACTGATGTCCCTGCCCGGAGGGTCAAGTGGTCCCCAGCGTGCCAATCACCATGGGTGGGGCCGTCTGCTTCGAAGTTCCCAGCACGTTCCCAGCCAAGGCGATCCCTCGATGAGACAGCGGTGTGTCTCTGACAACACACAGAATGGGCCATTACTTTCATCTCTGCCTTTAAAAATGTAGGGAGGACATTCTTCCCTCAGAGGCCCACACACAGTTTGTGCCTGGTTCCCTAGTGAGACTCATCAGTGTGTAGCCACGGCCTCCCTGGGTCCTAAGAGCAGCGAGGGGCCGCTCAGGATGGGCAGGGGTCTGGGTGCAGGGAAGAAATGTGCTGTCATGCAGCAAATATCTACTGGGTCCTCCTCAGAGCTGGCAGAGTCTGGGGTGGGGGAGGGCACAGGGCTTTCACAGAGATTACTTCCTTCAGAGTGCAGGAAGGCTGACCGCGGGAACACTCGAGGAGAATGGCTGCTTCTTCAGGTATGGCAGGGCCAGGCCCAAGGGAAGGGGAGTGCCCCCAAGTGCCTCCCGGGTTGGGCCACACTGTGTCTCTCTGACTCCCCGGCTGGGGCCTATGGGGGTCCTACAGACAAGATCGGGCACATACAGGGTGGTATGGCTGTCGCCCACACACGTACATTCACCCCTCC